CGTAATAAAAAGTCTAAAGTAGACTCGTAACGTGATTTTACTAGTGAATTAAATTATTATTATGCACTTATTATTATTATTCACTTAATGCATTTTTAATACTCCGAATTCCGTATGATAAAACCAAGAGAGTTTTTTTTTAATGTTTTTGATAGCGCAGTCTTTTATCTAAATCCATTTAAAGATCTTGTATTTCATTCATTTACTTTAGAGCTGTGATAAAATTTCTCATCTTATCCACCTCCTTTTATCGCTTAGTTATTCCAACTAAAGGATTTAAGTCAAAGGGCTCGGTAGCGTAGCATATTTTTTATTGCAAAAACTACTTGATTCCTAGATATTTTTGATGAGTATATTTTATGTTGTAGATAATCTATACTTATAATACATATAACATTTGAACTATCTTTCTGATATACTAATAAGTGTAGAGGGGTGAACATATTCATTAGTATTATCTTCCATAGGCCTCGTTGTTTCATCGATAGTCAAATCTGACTTTAGTTAAATCCTAAAGGTAAGAAATAACCATTTGTCAAAACTTAATACATTTACTATGTATTTGACGTTGCGTTAACTGCAGTCAAATTTTACTATCGATGAAACAACGTGATCTTTCTGCTTGTTTCGACAGTTTGGGCAAATCCGTTTTAATTTATCTTCCTGTTGGATGTATTCTGCCTCTTCTGATGACACATTCAAGCATAAATGATGATAGTCTTCCGTTCAACGCGTACGTACCAGACGATCAGTATTATATCATTTTCTATCACAAGTTGCGCAGTTCTTCATTGTAGATGGTTGCGAACAGTAGATATGTACTTTTGTTATTTAGCAAACTGTTCCCGCAGATAATTCGGTCAAACTGATTTTTCTCGTATGTCCACAAGCTACATTAAACAAAAAAAAGTTCGTGTGGCACTCGCGGACTGCCGCGGTAAAGCTATTGCATGGCATTTTTTATGCAGTACTTTGTTTATTCATATTTAAAACACTTTAACATAAATTTTACGCGTACAGCTATTCTACACTATTGTACATAGGTGATACCCGAAGAGCAGGCTGGCTTTGTTAAAGGCAGGGGAACGCGGGAACATATACTGAATGTTCGCCAAATTATCGAGAGGAGCAGGGAATTCAACTGTCCCCTCGTCCTATGCTTTATTGACTACACCAAGGCCTTTGACTGCGTAAAATGGGATAAACTGAGGAATGTGCTGCTTGAAGTGGGAGCTCCTTAACACCTAGTTGCCTTAATTTAGAGTCTATATACACAAAACCGGTCGTTCATCAGAATAGGTATGGACTGCTCTAGTATGTTCCATACTAAAAAAGGAGTGAGACAGGGTTGCATATTGTCTCCCGCCCTTTTTAACATATATGGAGAGTATAGTATTCGAAAGACTATAGAAAACTGGGAGAAGGGTTTTCCCATAGGTGGAAAGAGACTATCAAATCTCGGATACGCTGACGACACAATTCTTCTGGCAACATCCATGGAAGATATGTGTGAGCTTTTCCAAAGACTCGAGTTAGAAAGTGGCAACATCGGTCTCACAGTGAATAGAGCAAAAACCAAAATCATGATAGTTGATCGAGCTGGAAAGTTAACAAATGACAACATTATCATTCCTGGCATTAATAACGTCGACCACTACATATATTTGGGCTCCCAAATCAACAATGATGGCAGCTGCGTTCCCGAGATAAAAAGGAGAATCGGTATGGCTAAAGATGCTATGACCCGACTAAACAACATCTGGAAGAAAAGAGGAATCAGTATCAAAACCAAGATCAGACTGATACGAGCCCTGGTATTCCCTATCTTCTTATATAGAGTTGAATCGTGGACAATTTTAGCCCGAGAAAGACAAAGGATTGATGCATCGAGATGTGGTGCTGGAGGCGAATGCTGAGAATTTCTTGGACCGCGAAACGCACCAATGCATCGATTTTGAGTCAGCTCCGTATAAATACTCGTTTGTCCACTGTATGCCGACAACGCATCCTATCATATTTCAGAAATGTCGTCGTCCAAATTTTATACGGTAGTGAGAGACGTGCTGGGCAGAAACCGGTGGAGGCAGATCATCTATTCCAGATGCAACCAGCATGCTGACCACGATCCTCAGTCATGAGGGACCGACCAGAGAGAGTACATAGGTGATAGATACCTATACACCTTTATACTTTCTCACAAACAGAAGCTTACGTATTCGTCCGATTTCGGAGCAGCTCGTCTCGATCCGTGCGAGCTTCGTACCGTCGTACCATATACAGGTACGTTAGGGTTCAACTAGCCGCGGGCTCGAACTCACTCGTGGACGCGGCCAAAAAGCCACGCTGTCTTACCTAGCATTGTAAAGAAATTATTAAAGACACATTGACAAAAAGACCCATTTCGAAACTATGTGTAATTCCAATATCTTAATTTTTTAATATTATTTTTATTGTACATATTATATAAGAGTTAGATTCATTTTTATTTTCACTTTATTGATATTTTGTTCCAGGGTGTTATGTTTTTACATGTAGACATGAGTCCTTTTATACACCTTAAAAAAAGGGGGTAATTTGTATACTAATGATGATGTATCTACTCCCCCTTTTTTAAGGACATTTCTGCAGTATGCCCTTGGTGGGCGGGATGTATAAGATTTACAACTACAGTAATATACCAATAAATAAATGTTAATATATAGAAATAATATAAATGTCAAACGATAAAAATAAATAAATAAGAAACAAACTAAAATATTAAATTAGTTTATAACACCTCTCATAGATGGCGTTGATGCATTGTGAATTGCGATATGGGTTTGTTTCAGATAATATAAGTTAGTAGGTTAAATTAGTTAATAACTTCGCTGGTTGCCAAATTAAAATTGTATGGATGTACTTCAGCCTTTCAATTGAACACCCCACCACAACCAAAAGTTTATTCAGGGAGTGTAAGGTTTTTTTCATTACGGAATTTCTTGATTCGTTCACCGCGCTCAAAGCCCGCGATAAAATCTATGCAATAGCTTAAAATACTTGTATTTGTTTGTTAACTGACTCGGGACACTTATCACTGGATATTGAACATTAAGACGAAATACGGAGAAACTGAAGTTAAGTTGCGCAATTACGACCAATTTATCACATCAGTTTCCAGCAGTAATGAAAGTTGTATATAAGTAGACCAAACATTATTACATAAGTATGCAAAAATATGTTGTTTCATATTGTTCTAAGTTTGATGGTTTATGGTTTGCACAATTTATATCGCCGGAAATTATCTCTGGGGGGCCGCCTGCCATGACAACAAGACCTCTAAAAAAACTCCGGCTCTTTTTTAAACCTTATGACGGGTTTGGATTACACCAGATAAACTAAATTTCCGAGGTATGCTGTCAGTTTTATTAAAAATATAAAGTTGCATACCTCTTATACTTTAGATTTTGGTCACTGACACTGACTGACTGATCATCAAAATTCTTAGGGTATTTCTAAGGCCCACTTGCATTAAATTTGCTAATTCTCGATTTAACTTAAACTATATGAAGAGTACAGGGGAAGAATGATCAAAGTCACTTTTTATAAATTAGCAGATTAATGATTTCTTAACTTAGAAGACTCATAACTACTTGAAGAAATGACACAATAATAATAATTTCTGTCTTAAAATCACTAGTACTTTGGTTTCATTATTTACTAAAAAATTAAAATATTTTATATTTTTAATGAGAATTATTTAATATTTTTCACGCTCAGGCCCAAACCTAAATTATATAAATGATCAAAATCCTACAGGAAATATTCAAAAATGATCAAAGTCACTGTAATGCGGCAGATTAGTAAAATAATCTTGGCCTTTTTGGGAGCAAAATAGTTTCAAATGTTGTAAATCACTGTACAGAGCCTTTTTAATTGAAATAAGCTAACTAAGATATCTCAGGTCTATCAGTTTCATGAATTCTTCTTTTTGCACGTTGACCGACAGAGGACGTTCTATTGCTCTGTCGGCCAACGTGCAAAAAGAAGAATTGACGAAAAGAATGATGTTTGACTATTCGTTCGAAAACTTGTAAGAACGATCAAAGCCTCGGACTCCGATCGTTTTTAACTTTTACCGCTTAGACTAATAACTTTTATGTAAAAAAATAAAATGTGATTTATCGTGACTTTGTATGTTTATATTCTTTCCATGCCTAGTGACAGGCAAGCTTAGCGTCTTACGAACTAGATAGCGTTATTAACCTCAAAGCAGTTTTAGGGTGACTTTGATCGTTCTTTCCCTGTGCTCTTCATATGTAAGCCCTAGAAAAATGACAAAACGTCATTTTCAATTAGACATCATTCTATGGGATGAATCTAGTTATAGTTCAATTAATATTTAGCAAAATTCCTGCAAGTGAGCATTAATGTCATAGAAAGCTAAAATTTGGAATATAAGCTAGTATTAGAACACAAACTACAAAAAATAAATAAAACTTGTAATTTTTATCCCCCAACCCCTAAAGGTTTGAAAATTGATATTGGGACTCGCTGTTATTATTATAAATAATAAAAAATGGCACAAGCAACTTACAAAATAACTGAAATCCGTAAAAAAACATTTTCTTGTGCATTGTTGTCGGGACGAGACCATAAGACTCGCACTGTCAAAAAGTTATCAGATCTCAGGTAGAGCCAAACTTCTCTCTCTATAAGTCCAAACTCTACAAGGCCTAACTTCACAAACTCTACACCTAAGTAAAAATATGTGGCTTAGCTATTTCATTACTACAAGAACTATTGTATAGCAGAAATAAAATGAATAGTGGATAATTGTTTTACCTGACGCCGTGGATATTTTTTTTTACCATTGTAGCGATATAGGTTTTATTTATATTTCTATAAAAATGTTATAAGAAGACTGTCCGCACGATTTTTGAAATTTTGGTGTGCGTACGAAAAACATTCACTTAGCTCTAACTGGATCAAATTACAAGGAAGATATAATAATATGTAGTATCGTTAAATCCGTTTTGTCAGACGCTCATGTGCAGCGGAGCCACTTGTCCATGATCCTGTTGCGAAATTCCGCCTAAAATGTAAGTAAACAAGTGTTGGTTAATAAAAATAACGACACAAACGTATAATTCTGACGTTGATTTTGAAGAGCTTTTATTGAAAATCTTACAATTTATATAGGTATTTATAAATTTCCATTTGATACAAATAGTAAGGGATATTTTATCACATAATAAAAAACTTTTTATATATATTTAAGTGCTAGAGATGTTTAAATATTAAGTCCCATCTGCTGTAAGGCCGCGTGGTTTTTTTTCTAGTAAAATTATCGTTATACTTATACATATTAGAAAATATTTTTCATATCTGAAAGATATCGATTCAATGTATTGTTTTAAACTTACAAGGTCACTGACATTATAGTAATGTAAGTTATTTACGGGATTGTTGCAACAGTGCCAAAATATCGGAAACTCGCTAAAAACAAGGTACATGGTAATAATCCCGTAAACAACTTGTATTACTATAATATCGATTCAATTTCAATTCCAAGTGATTTTTTTATATTCCTATTAATTATGGTTGATATTTACTATATGCAAGCTTATCAGAAGATTTTGGGATAGAAGAAGTAAAACTATGATATTGTGAACATTTTACAATATTATTTGAATTTGCCTAAAAAAACATAATTATGTGACAAGAGCCGACAACGCACACGGCGGACTTTTGTCCGCGGCGCGCGCTCGATAATAATATACGTGGTAAACAAGTGGAAAAAACCACTCCTTTATATGATCCATCAAAAATAGTATCACGATCAAAAGACGGATTCTTAAGCGTCTATAAATTTTATCATCAGATATGCAAATAAAATAACCTTAACGGATTTATCAAATAATTGAGTAGGGTTGTCGAAGTCTGGAATTAAAAACATAAAATGACGACATACTACCGATACGATTACTTAAATCATATTTTTTTTATTGTGGCTTAGCGTCATGCTATGTTTTTTGTATTTTAAGTGATTTCAGTGATTAATTTAACTTCGGTAGTATGTTGTTCGTATATTTTGCATCTCTTTACACTTAAACTATATTTAATTATATCTTTGAAAAAGATCGTAAAACATTGTGTTATTGAATATTATAGTGAAAGCATAATAAATAATCTCAACAATACATAATCAATCAGATATAAAGGGGACCAGTGTTCCTTTTTTAGGAGTTCTCTATTTCATAAACTTCATGTTAATTACAATACAATATAATCTCAGAACATTGCGTGTGCGTTGAGTCCGTGACAAGCCCCGGCGGACATTTTTTTCATAATACGCGGACTAAAGTCGCCTATGGTTTGTTTCAGCCTTAATGTTGTCATTTTAGTTTCCCATATAAAAATCATTATTCCAAAATAGTACCAGGATACCATACATGGCTAAGAGGTTCTGGTTAAAAAAAACTGTTGAAGGAGTTTTTTATCAGCTCTTTGCTTAAATAAAACCAAAAGTTTCGTCACTCCTCTTATAAATATCATTAGCATACTATGAAAATTTTGTTATAACGACACCAAATGCTCATATTGCGGCGAAACAACTGTGTCAGTTATCGCACTGAGAGTTTTGATATTGTAAAAGTTTCCCCTTGTTTCAGGATGAGAGGAGCGAAAGCGGTTTTTCTCATTTTATTTTTCGGCCATCTTTCTGCTTTGCCTGACACCATACGAATAGGTAAGTTACATTTGTATGTTTATTGGCACAATTTACAATTGCCACAGTAGCAGATTTAATTTTAGTTTAATATAAGCGCACAGTTTCTGTCCTTGAATAGGCTATTTGACAGTATGAAAAATAAAGTACCAATTTTGGCATGTGTATTTAACATGAATATTAGAAGCGATTTCAATATTCACTATTTCACTTGATAATATTATTAAAAATCATGAAATAGAAAAGTTTTTTTGTCTATTGTCACGTAGTCGAAAACGGCTAGGATTGGCGAAACCTAAAATGACGTCACTTCCTTGTAAATATGATGTTTGACGTTTTAATGTGAGCCGTGTGGGCGTCACTTGCCTGTAAGCACGCCATATTTGCTATAGAAACGTTTCTTTTCGGACGGGTGAATGGAAAAGATGAAACGCAATTGCGTTACGAACGTCACGTGACTATATATATATGTGTGTGTGTGGGGGATGTGTGCGCAGCTCTGCCCGACAAACATGAAAAATGGAGGGTAAGTCGGCGAAGGCTGAAACGCTACGAGCTTCACGAGCGTCACACGAGAAAATAAATATATATATAAATGAGTGATGCATGCGCTGCTCCTCTATGCCTTGTGCACTGCCTAATGTCAGGTTATTTAAGAAAAGCAGTTTCATTTCAGATGTGTAATCTGTGCAAACTTATTATTGTAATGATATACGCAACAGAATTATAAATCTATGTTATGGATAATATCCTATTCATGAAGTCACAATACACTAGTAAAAATGTAAACGTATGAACGTTTTCAAAAACTTCTCAAATAGCCTATTGTGCTTGCGGTTATGTCGGTTAGACGGCAATGGAATAAGTATTTGCAATGCTCCATTGAGATAAGGTTGGCGCCAACTACTGTATCAATGTAAATCTGCCTTAAGATTTATTGTCTTGCATTATTATTATTGTTGATTTGTTATTGTTTTAATTTCTGTTTATTGAGAAATTGCTTGACATTAATATTTTTAAAATATTTCATAAATTATACATTACTCAATACGTTAAGTTACCTTCAGATATCAGACTTTTTTTGGAATCAGTACAATAAAAGAGGTTAATATAGTACCGTACGTTCGGTAGGTACGAGTAAAGGTTTATTTCACGAAAAACAATTCGTATGTTAGTATCAATAATAGTTATCATTCGATTTCTGTTCTAGTTTATGTGAAGCCAGGGATACGACTTCAATATTCAATACTCTATAATAACGTTCGAAGTGTAATTGGGCTATGGGCTGGGGTTGTACCTTAACGATGGTCTGATGTAAATTTGATTTGTTAGAATTCAGTAAATTCGACTATAGGTAATATTTATTTGAATTGTACTTTAATTAACCTTACTGGATTCAATGCGTAATCTAATATCAATATCTTAAATATATTGTATAAAATATTCTAGTTTCAGTCACTAAGTGTTATTATTTTATTATACTTCTGCAATATTTTTATTCTGAACGCTTTTATTTTAATTGTTATGTCTAATAATGAAAGGAAATTGCTCAAGTTGACCCAAATTTATACTTTATTTTACAGTCATTAGATTTTAACGGACACCCTTGTATAATATATTCATTTTAAAAAGGACTTTTAATTTTACCGGTTTGGAAAACATACTAATCATTTTTAATGGTTATTGGTATAGTAAAATTCAGCCAAAGACTGATCGAAGTTGTTTATTTACCATCAAAACAAATCTATTTTGTAAAGATCGATAAAATAAATCATATTTTTTTATTATACTGTGGTATTAATATCCACAAATATATTATCATTTTCACTACATGCCAATGTGCTAAGACACTTATTATAGATGGTAGGTGACATCATAAAGTCTATTGCCATACATTTTTCGCCACACAACCATAAACACATTATGGAGTGATACACTAAAAATCTAAATAAATATAAAATATGGTTATAATAGAAACATAACAAAAATAATGAAGCTACTGAAGATATGGCTGGTATAACCAAAAATCTTAGCTTTTTAACGAGAGTTTAAGAATTCTCTCTAATCTGTGGCTCCTTCACAATCATCACACAATTTCTGTCACAGAGTGAGTACCTTATTATAATCTGAAATGCATAAATTATACCTGATTGATTAACTTTAAAAACAGGCAACTATTTGTTAATCTACATTCTCTTTACCTGAACCTAATACATAATTTCGGTACTTGGCTTGATTTCCCTAGTTTTCAATATGACTTTTTTGTTTTTTATTATTTTAATACCTATGTCAAAATCAAAATCATTCAGTGTATATGGTTTATAGAAGTTCTTAGGGATGTCTGTCAATAATATTCGTTTCTACAGTAATATAAATATAATTTTGAATGTAAGAAACAATTTTTCATGATTATTGGTCTTTAGGCCAAACATGTACGGAAGCTGAGCAATCTCCTTTACTAAAAATCCAATAACCTACTGTAAATACGGAAACTGACTTTTTTTTGCAAGTAAGTACGACAATTTATATATCTTTAAATAATATTAATAAAAATCTAGTCATTACGTGCTTATCTAAATAGACATGATATTATTCTATCATTAATACAAAATCTCTAAGTAAAATTTATTTAATAAGTACATACCTACAAAGAAAGTCAGGTTATTCCCCATTTCATGGCAACTTGTTTGTTAGACAAACAGTTTTTATAAAACTAAAGTAACATTTATTTATGTAGCAATTGATTGCTTAATCCTAGATAGCTAACCTACTGGTGTACTCTCTTTAAACTAACCATCCGTCGAAACGACGGGTATATAAAAAAAATGGATTAAGGAATTAAAAAAAACCGGCCAAGTGCGTGTCGAGCTTAGGAATAAAACGATACTATCTAGGTATCGATACTTTTACCCGATACTGTATCGGTCATAAAGTATCGATGCCTACTTGGTATCACATGAAAAGTATCGATACTTACTTGTATCGATCAATTTTGACGAACGATACTACAATTACAAATTCAGACCTAGTTTTAATTTAACGAAAACAAAATAACGGCTCACATCACGCGATGAACGAATGACTGACTGAATAAATTGGAATAAATATAAATAAGGCTACCAACTGAGCAGTAGAAAAGATGCGTTTGCGAAACAAAAATTCCAACTAGACACGTTCTATAGAGTAAATAAATCTGCCTATGAGTTTTTTTAATACTGCTCAGTGAGAGACCAAACGAGTAGCGATTCAAGTATTTACTTCACGATAGTACTTGTTACTCAGTGCTAAAGTATCGATGGCAAAAGTACTTGGTATCGAAAAAAAGTATCGAGTACTTGTATTTATTCGTATCGTTTCATCCCTAGTCGCGCTACGCGCAGTGTAGGGTTCCGTAGTTACCTGTTACCACAATCTGTTTGAGCAGGTATCTATATTTTCTATATTGGTAATATGAAAAACCAATTAATATCAATCTATCTGTGTATCTTAACTTAAATACCTATATCAAACTGCGTCTCAAACTCAAAATCAATTCGATATATTTTTTTTAATACGAATGATTGTTGTTGACGTCAACACATGTTTTCAGTTGATTTTGGTTGTTGTTGTGATGTCATCTTTCAATTGAAGACACTGTATGAAACAAAACAGGGAGAAAAATCTTGCCAGTTCTTCTCAGTACAAGGTCTACCGCCGTAGATTTACGAACCGTGGGGTAGCATCTGTCTTTATTTATTTATTATTTTGGTTTCATGGAAGACCAACAGCTTATCTTAATAAACTAGACATAAATAGTAGCGGCAAAGAGCCAATTACAGTTCCTTACGTCTAAACATAACTTAAAGTTATAAAGAAACTATTTGCACTGTCCAATGTAAAAAATCTCTTAAATATTATTTAACAAATGAGGTCCTTATGATAAATAACAGAATAACAAATTATGCGACCGTTAATTAGTAACACTTGTCTATGAATTTAAAGTCTGGAATAAATGTTTATTATTATATTAATTATGATCTCCAAAAAACAAACGAGCAATGATACGTCTAATCGACGCTTCACTAGTGTTATAAAGATCTAAATTTACCGGTTTTGATAATAAATTGAAGCTGTTACTTGCTCGACAAAGAAAAGCGTTATGCCGATAATTTGTAGAAGTAGGGGGGATACTTAAAATAGTATTAATCTTAAGGGGTTTGGGGGGGAACTCCAAACAAGACCTTTGATAGGAGTTCCGGGCAGTCAACAGCCCCAGAAGCGATCCTACTGAGGAAAACTAAATCCGCAATTTAGCGAAGCATCCCTAAAGGGAGAAGATGATGCTTTTTGCGGAGTTCCCCGTACCGACCTGAATGATAACGTTCCTTAGTACGAAAGCACAGATATCGTACAAAGTTCCTCTGGATGCCTTCAATGCAAGATATATAGGTATTCCACCTATATATCTCGCATTGAAGGCATCTAGGGTTCCAGACCTGAGATGTCCAGATGCCTTCTAATAAAGGTACAATATAAAATTTTGAGTGTCTTGGCCTGACTAAAAGTCTTTGGAGTTGTGCATAATAAACCCGAGGGTCTTAGCGCTTTTCGTGATCACCTTATTAATATGTATATCGTAGAGAAGCTTCGAATCGTGAAATACACCAAGGTCACTTAAAGCTATCTCACATTTTTATTGGGATTGTTTTAGTTTATAGTCAAACAATACAGTCAAACACCAGGGCATGTCATGCACACTATGTGCGAACATATGTTGCCCGAAAATTTTATGAAGCGCACGCTACGGAAGTAAAAATTCTCAGATTACATCGTGTTGTAATATACATGAAGTTTAAGAAAGAAAAGAAGACGTTTGACGTCCTGCGCTGCGTTAAGCAGGAGCACGGAGCCCTCGTCCGCTCTGCGTGGTTGGTTCATGTTGTTTCATAGAGCAACACTGCATGAGAAGGGTCTCCCGTCGCAGTGGTACTCTATGAAATGAAGTCCGCCAAACGCAGCGCAGGCCCTAAAATAGAATACTGTGTTCATATTTTTAAATCGCATCGAGTGCACAACGCAAACCAAAGTTCACGGCGTTCGTTGCTATACCTAGTCACTTGAGTTCAATTTTTTCGTGGACACCTCCATACTTTTGTGCAGTACGGTCTCTCGGTGTCCTCGGTTGTTGGTGGGACTTTTTGTACGCGGTTCTTTTAATCCCTCGTGTGCGTTACTCGATGCAGTTGTAACCGATCTATGTTGGTGGACAACAAAGTCTAACAGAAACAGAAGTTTCTAGTCTGTGCAAGCTATTATTGTGTATCTATTTCTTTCCGTTACCCGAGTATCCAAAAACATAAGCCTTACAATACCTTACTTTAGGGGTAGCTAGAGTAATTGGTATTAGTGTCAACAATATTTATTTATTTGGTTAACGCAGGTGGACTGTTTCATCCAGAAGACGATAAACAAGAAGTAGCATTTCGTTATGCCGTAGAACGCGTTAATGCAGATCGAGCAGTGCTACCCAGAGCAAAACTTTTAGCCCAAGTTGAAACCATTTCACCACAAGACAGCTTCCATGCTTCCAAACGAGGTAAGAATCTTTAAAAGCTATAATAGGTATTATTATAATTTGTATACATTTTTAAACACATTTGCACACGGAAGCGTGTCAGATTTTTAAATAATTAATGGTCTAGAGAAAGATTACAAAATCCTACTTGTTTATTATGATAATGCATAAGAAATACATTAGGTAGTAGAACTGCATTATGCACACTACCAAGCGTTTGAAACACACTTAATTACTAAATAAGATACTCTTCAAACAAAAGAACATCAGTATGTATTGTTGAAAGGTAAACAGGTCGCACTTTGGCCAATAGTCCAAAATAAAATTGGGGAAATTTTAAACTAAGAATTAATCTTAGTTTAAAATAGGTACCCACCCAAAATCATAATATGTATATATTTTAGCTTTTTCGTATAGAAAATGCTATACAAGTCCCAATAACACTGGATGGGCTGCTTGGCAACATTTCGGCTTAGTAAATACTTTGTAGCACAGTTTCTCCGAGCTAAACCAATTTCAGTTTAGACAGGATTCATTTAAATAGCTTCTCTTTATAATACCGGATGTCCAATTCCAGTAGGCTCAAGTTCTTTTAATCTCAAACTTTTATTAAACCAATGCGAATTGTATACCGTGGAATTCGCAATTCGAATTGTTTCTTAACTTTTACTTGTTTCTTGGTGTAAACGAGGGGTTATTTTCCTATTGAATATGGTTCCACAATGAATTTATATAGGGGTTAAGTATCAAAATAGATTCACTTTATAATACTCAATATAAATATGTATTAAAGTAGGTATTACAAAATTTACAGTTTTTTTTCCAATGTATTATTACAAAGAATGGCACACCAAAACTTTGATGTTTCATTGTGTTTTAGGTGCAACTCTACTAAAAAACCTTTTGCATCTATACAGTTAGTATATTTACTATGTAATTAAGCCGATAAAATTAAAAATTAAGTTAGAAAAATAACGTGTTTAACAACATCTAGCTCTAAATGACTTTAATAAAACTGCCTTTTCGTAGCATGTGCGAACCGGCTTTAATCAACCTATGTTATTTCAAAAAAAATGCTATATTTAGAATTCAATTTCTATTGAAGATTGAATAATTGTTATCAAAGAATAAAAAAATATCAGTGTTTAAAAATTTATTAATATTTTAGTGTAAATACTAGAGCGCCGATCATTATGGGTGGGTCAACATTAGTACATATTCCCCTACTTACGCATAACGCATAACGCATTATACGAAATGGTTAATGTTCCACTTTGAAAATCACATAATATATTCTGTTTAGAATTATTCATAATTTTCGCAATAGTCAACTGCGGGTATTCCTCCTTATAATTAACGTTTTAGTAACCTTGACAGAGCTGCCAATTTAATTTGAATTTCTAATACCTAATCATTATAATTTACTGTAATTTGTACAATGAAACCTCATACTATAGGATTTGATTTGTCAATTATTGTAATGTTAATAATTTTTTCAGATATCTTTAATATATTCAAACAAACACTTGATATCTTTTAAGATGCATTATGTATTGAAATTCATGAATTAAAATCACACCATTTATAAGTTACATAAATTTTGTGATTCTGAAAAACTAATTTCTAGAATCAACTAAAGTTTCGGAATCGTAAAACGCATTTAACAGTAAGACTTTTTACCGTTGAATAAGAAATAATACGCAGACATCAATATCACAACAGTCCATAACCCTCATCAAGTTGTTATATGTATTATTCTAATAACGAAGCTTATTCGACTCATATCGACGCTTATTTAAGGAAAACACACCTCATCAACGAAATAATGAATAACTTTAAAGGTAATTCCAGAAGAAAATAGTGCGTGCCGTGTTATTGCTTTACATCTTCGTTTATGTGACTAAAATAGGCACCAATTAACAAAACCCTTAGTAGGTAGCCGACAAGTAGCCGATTACTAAACAAATGGCGACAAAGAGCTATAGACGCTCGATCTCCAAAAGAAGTTTCACATCAAAAAAATTCGATCATTAGTTCTTGTTGGTCATTAGTGCCACTACCTTACATCGAAGGAGTATATGGAAACCAAAAAATGTATTTTTTATGTATAAATAAAAATGTATCGTTTATCAATTATCGTCTGTTTCAAACGTTTTGAGTGCAAATGTAAATAAAGCACCATCTACAATATCTTAGTGTTGGGATTTGGTAGAGAATTGACTAAAATTTACGGCAGCTAATTAAGAGAAAACTTTTTTTTACATTCACTCTAGTAACCTGTTAAACGGAATACAAGGGAGTACTTGTATATTGGATAAGCAGTACGAAGTAGGAACCAAGGAGAAAACTTGTTGCCACTAATAATTGACGACCTCCGTGGCCGAGTGGTTTATACGCCGGGTTTCATAGCGTCGCCAACGCGAGAGGTCTCGGGTTCGAATCCCGGTGGGGGCAGATGTTTGTGTGATGAATACGAGCATTTGTACTCCAGTCATGGATGTTTTACTATGTATTTCATATAAATATACTTATATATGTACAATATATGTATTCTATCCGTTACCCTAGTATCCCATAACACAAGCCTTTACAGTGCTTACTTTGGGGCTAGGCTAATTGGTGTGAGTGTTGGAAATATTTATTTATTAATAATTAATTACGATTTGAGGGAACTCTCTGAAAAGAGAAGAAACGATTGCCTACTAGTTTATTTAATACCTGTAGATGTAAGCAAAATTGGGTCAAGAAGTAAGACTAGATGTAGACATAATGAATCGTATTTTTTTTGTATTAGAGGTTGCCCGTGACTTCGTCTGCGTGGTATAATTAATTTCTCATACGAACCTCCACCTCCCTTTACACGTCCTTTATGGATTTTTCCATGTCCTTTTCTGGGACTTAAACTATATCTTTAAGAAATTTCATCTAAATCAGTTCAGCGGGTTAAGATTGAAGAGGTAACAGACAGAAAGACAGACACACTTTCGCATTTATAACATTAAGTAAAGTATGGCAGTATGGATGTACACACACACTCCAACATAGATTCACATTTTAGTATGTCACCTTTTGCGGAGTGGAGTGGCGGCCATTTTCGGGCCACAATCGGCACCCGCAGCCGCCCACGTTCAGTCTATTTGTGACACAATGGAACTGCCACACTTAGAGACCAGATGGGACTACCGCACTAGACGGGAGTCATGTCTTGTCAACCTTTACCCACATCCAGCGGCACTCAGCCGGGTAAGTGACATCGGACGAATTAAATTTTGATACGAAATATTTCCACATACCTACAGTTTGCAATAAACCTGTTTTATGGAATAAGAAAAATAGCAGATTGTTTGTATTCATCGTTGTCGTTTCTTTCGTGACTTCCGTCGTACCCTTTTAAGATTCCGTGTTAATCCTTCATCCTCTATCTTGTCACATGAGTATCGAATTATTTTAATTTGCATTTATTTTTTTCCCTAATCGTTTTTTCAATATAATCTCTTATCATACTCAATATTTTCTCTATAATAACTTCATAATTTATTGAAATTAAAAACAGCATTATAAATCTTTATTTTCACTTTAAAGCGCTAACATTACTATGTATATTTTCCTAGAGTTGATGTAACTATTTAAATATTTATGTAGGTATTATCTAAGCTTTATATGAGAATAAAGTCTACCCTCGTTTTTCATCCTAACGATTAAAAAGATTAAGTTCATGATTGCTCTGACCCAAACAATGTTCAATGTGCCTAGAACATCGTTATTTACGTTTTTAAGGAGGTACCTATTAATTATGTCATAATGTTTTAAACCCATTTTCATGTTCCTTTATTTATTACACGTTTTTGGCAGTAACTTTTTATGTTATATTATTCTTGATAATTATTGAAAGTACTTACATGACTTGTATTAGGAAAAAATCAGAACTTCGATAATAAGAATACTGCTCACATCGACTATTATACAGGGCGTCCCACGGCTACCTCACACGGAGGGAAAGTATATTAAATATTGAAGATAGGATATTTTACTGAAAAAAGACATCATTTTATTTTTAATATTAATTAGAACTGCATTCACAGATTTTTTTTTAAATCGCCTGCCACAACTGGGATTCAAACTCGTGAAATTTCGAAAAAAAAACGCGACATATTTTAAGATATCGATCGAAAGGGTAAATCGTAAGTATTATTTTTTGGTAACTAACATAGCATTTTAAATGAAAGGAATATCTTATTAGGTGATAAAAATAACAAACTGTAGTACGTATGCATTTTGATTTTTTTGAACTCACAGTTACAATGCGATTGGCTGAAATTTATAAAAATAATAATTCGAAAATGGAACACATATTTTTCCTATCTTCAATATTTAATATACTTTGCCTCCGTGTGAGGTAGCCGTGGGACGCCCTGTATTCATAAGTAAGTTTTCTAAATTAAACTCACTACAAATTGAATGCTGATTTTTATGAGATGAAACCAATACGATACTAAATTCAGAGCTTGTTTACATTGCTTGGACGTTAAAAATTTTTAGTCTTATAAGTAAATATTTATGTCATACAATACGATATCGCTTTCAATTTATTTAAAGGCTTACGTAGATCTAGTACGGGCATGGGGATGGAAGTCCTTCACGATAGTTTATGAGAACAGCGACGGATTAGTTAGACTGCAAGAGTTGCTCAAAGCCCATGGTCCATCAGAATTGCCAGTGTCAGTACGGCAACTACCGGATTCGCATGATTACAGGTAAACATAGACAACGTTTATCGTCTATTTATTAATGAATTTTATATTCGTCAATCGCTAAATGAGATCTTATTCCGTAGGCCACTTCTAAAGCAAATAAAGAATTCAGCGGAATCTCACATAGTGCTTGATTGTGCGACGGACAGAATCAGGGATGTTCTCCAACAAGCACAACAGATTGGAATGATGTCTGACTACCATAGCTACCTTATTACCTCCTTGGTAAGTTTATGGGTGCACTTAGATTATAAAACACAATGCTAGCACGCAGTTTACAAAGAGAAATAATGGTAAGGCCCAATACTACATAAATGTCAACAGAAATAAGCGAATACGAATTAAGTCGTTACTAGTAATTCTGACTTAAACCACTAAGAGCACGTTGCCGCAATGACAAGCGCGTTCGGTCTGTGATTGCGGAGGTCAAGTGTATTCAGTAAAGGCCGGTCATCGAGCGGGTGACCAATAACGGCGCGGTAGGATATAGCCCATTCACCCCACAATATGGGAATCTTTCTTTAAATAGGCCATCCCTTTATCCTTTATTTCAAAAGTGCGTACATTAATCGTCTGGGGGTAAAGCCACGTGTTTAAGTACTAACATATTTGATTGCGGTATCGGTTATATAAGGTAGCGCAGGTGGTTAGCGCATTCGGTCTGCGTTCGTGGAAGTTAAGCGACTTTCACAATGGCAGGTCATTGAATGGGTGACTAAACATTACTATCTCTAGCTAGTCCACGCTTCGGAAGGCACATTCAGCCATTGATCCCGGCTGCACCTGCAATTGTTATCACCAACGACCCGCACTGGGCCCACGTGGTGTGTCATGGCCTATTCTCCGTAGACATTCATGGATAAAGCCTGTGCCCCAGCAGTGGGTATATCAACAGGGTGATGATTTTAATATAAATTTTAATTCCGTAGGATCTCCACAGTGTAGACTTGGAAGAGTTCAAATATGGTGGCACGAATATAACAGCTCTCAGATTGCTTGATCCTGAACGAGCCGACGTTCAGCGAGTTATTCGGGATTGGGTGTACGACGAAGCCAGAAAAGGGCGGAAACTACAACTAGGACACACTTCGGCCAAGGTTGGGTTTTATTTTAGATGTTTAGTAAATATTATGTAATCGTAAACTTGATATGGGGTGACATGAAACCTTAAATATAAATTTCAAACACGAGACTGAAATAACTAATAATCAGAAAATTCAGGCCCTAGATTTTCAATTGAGTACAATACCGAAAATATTTGTAAACAAGTTGGAACTATAAAACATAAAATTAAGTAGAACAACTCATGTTGTACTCTATCAGATTGAAATTTCTTTTGGCTTTGGAAATCAACTAGCGTAAAAAACACTCCACAATACTAAAACAATAGTTACGATACATTTTATTAAGAAAACCGTGTATGTAAGAATCAGTATCATTCAATACTCATCTCCACTGCAAATATAATCTGAAAATATTTTCATTTGCTTTCAGGAAAATATGACGTTCATTAAGGTATGTCTGTTTTAATATTTAATAACGCTCCAGAATACAAACGATAGGATTACAATGTAATTTGGCACTCTGCGGACGTTTTCATTTTATCCGCTCCAGCAAATGGTATCTACCAACCCTTTTCGTAAGAACGTATCTATGTACTCTGCTCGTTGTATCAAATACAAAGTTATTAGATTACCTCCTGGGGAAATGTCACATCTTTTATCTTCACAGACTGAAACGGCTCTCATGTATGATGCAGTACATTTGTTCGCAAAAGCTCTGCACGATCTTGATACGTCGCAACAAATCGATGTGAGGCCGCTCTCGTGCGAGGCCGAGGACACCTGGCCCCATGGGTACAGTCTCATCAATTACATGAAAATCGTAAGTAAAACTTATTGCTAAAATGTATATCACTTTTGTCTCCCAAGATTCTTCGCAAGTGACATTTGTTTACGTCACACATGTACATATATTTAAGTTTTTATTTCGCAACTTTTGATGTAACTTGTTTTCTCAAGTTTTCTTTTTATAAAAATAAATGTCAATTTGTCTTCGGTTAACTAACGGTAGAGTAAAACATTTCTGTTGAAACTGAAACTTGCACGAGTCGAGGCTAATACAGCCGGATAAATGCAAACACGAGGCGAGTTGACGGATTAACAGCTTGAATTGTAACACCCAGTTAAAAGCTTCTTGTGATTACTCCATCCTTATTGTTTAAATTTAATAAATTGAAACACACCACATTAATAACTGTACATTTGATTAGTACCAGACAAATAAATAACAATAAGTTGTTGTAGTGAAAATTTCAAAACACAAGTGCTAAATATTTCCGTTTCCTCAAAAGTACAGTATTTCATAGTACCGTCTAAAAAAGTTATTTATTTATTTTAAACATAATTTACACATCATTTTATTTCAATGAATAGGTTGAAATGAAAGGCTTAACTGGAGTTATAAAGTTCGACCATCAGGGATTTAGAAGCGACTTCACTTTAGACATAATAGAGTTGACGAGAGATGGCTTGCAAAAGGCAGGCACTTGGAACTCCTCAGAGGGCGTTAATTACACAAGATCCTATGGTGAAAATCAAAAACAAATAGTCGAAATCCTCCAGAACAAAACCCTTATTGTGACTACAATTTTGGTAAGTAATAAGAACAACAAGAATACGCTACTATTATATCTAAAAACATTTTATTGTTCTCTAATACATGACACAAGCGAAATTTGCGTACCTCTATTTAAATATATACAAATGAGATAACAGGTCTGGGTGGGATAATATGCTAAAGCTAAAACATGTTCCCTCAAAAGAATTTATTCATGCGTATGTTTTTACATTCGTAACTATATCACACGAGTCTTAGAAATTCGTCCAAGTCTTTGAAATAAAATTCGTACCTACAGTCGTTTTTTGTAAATAATTCATTTTATGTTTAAGCCTGCGTTTTAAGTAATGCCTTTTTAACGTATGTAAATTTGTATCGGTAATTCTCTAGAGTGCACCGTATTGTATGAGGAAGGAGGCCAGTGAAAAGCTAACTGGGAACGCTCAATTCGAGGGCTACGCCATTGATCTCATTCACGAGATATCTAAAATTCTGGGCTTCAATTATACATTCAAGCTGGCGCCAGACGGTCGATACGGCTCCCAAAACAGGGAGACTAAAGAGTGGGACGGAATGATAAGGGAATTGTTGGAACAAAGAGCGGATGTTGCCATAGCTGACCTCACCATTACATACGACAGGTATCTTTTGTCAAATATTTTAACAAAAAGGTCACCGATATGTATTTGATTATTATAAATAGATACTGATTTAGTGTAGATAGCTAAGATTCAGTTACAGTAATATACCTAGTTCACTGAATTTTCAAACAGATGACGCTGAAAAATATCAAAGAGTAAAATAATTTACTGAGTTATTTTTATTTATCCATTACTGAGGTAAAATATTATAACAAAGCACAAGTAATCTTCATTCCACATTCCAAACCTTTGGGTGTGATTATCTAAGTAAATTATTATGCTCTTTCTCTTAAAATGTCAGATCATCGAATTTTTCATAACGTTAATCGGATTTCCTTTCCTCAACAGGGAACAAGTGGTAGACTTCACGATGCCGTTCATGAACCTGGGTATCTCAGTATTGTATCGAAAGCCAATCAAGCAGCCACCGAACCTATTCTCTTTCCTGTCGCCTTTATCACTGGACGTATGGATCTATATGGCCACGGCTTATCTCGGCGTCTCCGTGCTACTTTTTATTCTGGCGAGGTACGTGGCGACTGACATTGTATATAAAACATTTATAAGGAAAATTTATATGACCCGATGCAATAGAATGTCTTACATAACCTCATATTATTCTTATTTAGGTGTATGGCAGAGGATTAGATACTCAATTTGTGCTACCTGACAAAAAATTATAAAGTTGTAAAGATGTCTTTGACGTAAGACAAACAAACATCGCATTGATAAATTAAAAATATCTCATTACGTTTCTTTTAAAATGCTTTTTGTTAGAACTCTGTCATATAAATTATTTACAGTACCCCAAGCACGAACTTTAACAGATCGTATATATCGTATCGCCATCGTTAATTTTTCTATGGAAGAAATTAGTTTGTTTTTACGTCCGCTTTTGTTTCCATAGAAATTGACGTTGCGATACGATTACGAACTCTGTCAAATTTCATGCTTAGGGTACAGTTTTGATGAAAACACTTGATCGCTTACATATTGAAATTTGTTTTGACATTGACAATAGTTTGCTTTGAAAGTAAACATTAGCTATTGAAATCAACTTAATAAATATCATTAATAAATTGTAATAGGTTCACTCCGTACGAATGGCATCCAACACATACCCCAGACGGCGAGAAAATGGAAAATATATTTTCACTTGCCAACTGTTTGTGGTTTGCCATCGGATCTCTTATGCAGCAGAGCTGTGACTTTTTACCCAAGTAAGAGTTGTGGAGCCCCTTATAATAAATCAGTATTGGAAACGCACGTGTGCGTTTTCAAAACTATTGGCAAGTGACCTCAGCGAAGTCCACATGAAGAACTATTAAAAGGGGCTAGAGAATATCGCTCACCAACGTAACTTTATATAAAAACTTCCAAAAAATTTGCATAAGGTGTATTAATCGGTATAAGAGCTTAAACAGACCACTTGGAGCAAATTACAAAATGTTCCAACAGATTTGTTTTAAATGTAATCTACCTTTTTGAATGTACAAAATGTGCGAAATCATTTGATCATTTTATCTCTGTAGAACGGGAGTGTGAATGCTCAAACAATTACGCACATGATTTTAGAAGTCATGACAATGACGGCAAAGGCAATGACGATATACAAAAATTATTGGAAAATATCCTACTCTGATCTATGATGGTCCGCAGTAATGTTAAATTCATGAGTTTTAGTAATTCGAGTAAAGATACCTCCCACTTAAGTTGACCTTTTGATGTCTCTCTCAGTCCGCGGAAACTTTGCGTTTGAAAGTGGTTTCGTAATTGACATTCCACGCCTGCCTTCTCTACGTCATCCCCGGATCATATTGACCCCATAAAATTGTTTTGGTGCGTTGTTGAGCGATTCTGTAATGTTGAATGGGAGTATTTGGGCGCAGGTTCAGCCCGTACGAGTGGGACAGCCCCGGGAACTGTCTAGACGAGCCGCCGGTGCTGGAGAATCAGTTCACTCTGTTGAACTCGCTGTGGTTCACTATCGGATCCTTGATGCAGCAAGGTTCGGATATCGCACCGAAGTAAGTCCCACCAAGTTGAAACATACTCTAACCAATGCCTTGTTGGCTACAATTCCATTTTGAATCACTCAATCAAAGATTTTTAAGTGATAATTCGAAAGAATTAAAATCCTCTTTTCAAAAATCTGCAACGATGACGTAATGCACTTCGTAGCCTTTTAATTACGGTAGCTATATTTAAAGGAAATGTAGCCTTCAGTTGCAGTCGGCAAAAGACCTCTCTTTCACTAATTAGTTTCAAAGCGACCACAGACAGCCCTTTGTAAATTTCAAGGATCGGTGGTCGTCTAGCGTGGTCAGTATAAATAGACACGTGTCGACAATTACTACTAGTTTTGTTTTCCACTATAGTTGGTTAAACACTTTGTAATTTAGTTGCTAATAAACAACTAGCTCGGGTAATGTGTACAAAATTGCACCCGTTACAACTCTATGCTTGTGTAGTATCCATAGCTTGCTGCATCAATTTTTTTATTAGTCGTAAGTAATGAAACTGATATTGCATAATGTGATTGAATAATAAATTAACTATTGGTATTTTAGTACATTTCTAAATGCGCCATCTATTTTAACATTTTGTACTCCACTTATGTGTAACATCTGGTGAAATGTAATAATTTGCTAGTCTGTTTATAAATAAATAATCTAATGTAAAATCAGTTTCCACGCTACTTCAGAATAAAATCTGAAACAGAGTGAAGAATTAAATGTTACGGTCATTAGTTAATTATCTTTTTGGTATAAAATTGATTGAATTACCATTTCAATTTACTAAAGTAGTCCTCAATGTTCCAATATAATCGTAATTCACAAATAAAACTAGTTAATACATTTACCTAAAGTCAAACGACGGAAACAGTTCCTATAAATTGTTTTCTCAACTTGAACTTGAATTATGCTAATGTAGAAATTATTTATGCAACATGGCAGCTTTTTCAACATGTATAAAGTAAGTCTGTAACTTGTGAGTCTTTTCTTTCAAGGGGTTATGATATTTTACTAGATTCTAACCAACGCAAAACAAACAATTTTCATCAAAATTCTTCTGAATTCGTTTTTTATAATGTGATCATTGTCACTGAAATTGTAATGCATATTTATCATGTAAAACGTAATTCTAAACATCGACAGCGTTTTCAATTCAGGGGCCTTGCTCATTAATTTTACATTCAATGTATCGTAGGTAATCGCCAGCACTCTAACAAAGTTACATAGTTATCCAATGCCATAGAATAGGTCACTACATGATAAAGATCTAAAGGTCTGGATTATAGGTAATAAATTTTAATTAGCAGATTTATTTCCAACGACAACTATTAAAGAAATGCAATACTACTGCTTTCAATCTTAAAGCAATTTGTGAAATCACTTTTGTCATATTCTCCGTATTCAATATTTGCTTTTTCTTCACTCTTATTTTGCCACTGATTATAATCAAATATATTTTTTTTTCTTAAATAAAATAGGAACAAAATTATTCGTACTGCTTTAAACTTTTGTGGTTCCTTTTTATAATTATTTTTGTATTTAGCGGGATTGCTACCCTCTGTAATTTCCATATTGTCATTAAGAGATTTGACAGAATCAAACATAGGTAAACTATTGAAAATACAATACGCTGGTGAGAATTTTGTAAAATATCATGAACGTTGACATGCATGACTTTAAAATTGTAATTATATATTGCTTTGTCATAAACCAGGGCGGTATCAACCAGAATGGTGGCGGGAATGTGGTGGTTTTTCACTCTAATCATGATATCATCATACACTGCGAACTTGGCCGCTTTCTTGACGGTGGAAAGGATGGATTCGCCAATAGAGAGCGCAGAAGATCTCGCCAAGCAAACCAAAATCAAATATGGCGCCCTTAAGGGAGGTTCGACGGCAGCATTTTTCAGGGTAAGCACGCTTTTAGAACGTAGAAATTACTATCTCAAACATTTTTATATCCACAGCCATGTAGGATAATACGATATGGAGTTCTCTGACAATGTGATCTCGAAGGAAAATTGCATAAGTTCATAGTGTAATTATTAGGTTGGGGAAAAAGTTTCATCGCAATTTATATGAAAATTCAAAACATTTTATAATAAAGTTTATTTACTTTTACTAAAGTAGATAGTAGTTTGTTCGATAACTTTTTGCTATCGTGTACGTCCCTTGTAGACATGATACTATATTGCCAAAATGGTTCGGTTTCATTGCGTCACAATGAAGAATCATAAATGAGTACACGGTTCATTAAGCTTCTTTCAGTGAGCTCGTGAGGCACCTAAATATTTTTATGTACCCAGTTTTTTCAAATACGCCAAAACTGTGTTGTGGTCAATTACTAGTTCGTCAGCCACATCGTATTTACTGATATACCAATCTTGTTCCTCTTTTTCAAAAATGGCATCCATTTTATCCGTGACAGGGCGACCAGAGCTACGTTCATCTTTGACATCTAATTTTCCGGATTGAAAACGCTCAAACCAAATTTGTACTACTCTCACCGACACTGCACTAGGTCCATAAACACCAAAAAAATTTTTTATCACCCCCAGTTATCCACTTTTTTCCCCACTTTCCGAAAGACTAAATTGGAAATACTAAATTTCGATTGTTTTTTTGTATTCTTCTTATATAGTTAGGTCAGGAAAATCCACTAGGACATTTAGAAGCCAGGTTGGTGTTTTGTGTAGGTATCTCAAAACTTATTAATTTCTAACGCACTGGTGCAGTATACTAGCTACACCTGTGCGAAGGCGGGAGGATCACAAGTGTAACAAAAAAAATATTCCAGCATTTTACAAGAATTGTATATTTATGTTACTCAGGACTCAAACTTCTCGACATACCAGCGTATGTGGTCGTTCATGGAATCCGCGCGTCCATCTGTGTTCACCAGCAGCAACAAGGAAGGGGAAGAGCGAGTGATGCGGGGCAAAGGCGCGTATGCTTACCTGATGGAGTCTACCACCATCGAGTACGTGGTAGAGAGAAACTGCGACCTGACACAAGTAGGAGGCATGCTTGACTCGAAGGGCTACGGAATCGCTATGCCACCAAGTAAGTACATCATCCTTATTGATACCAGTTATATTGATGTTCATGGAGCTGCAAAAAAAAATAGATCAAAATAGTGAAAGTGTGCATGCTCATGCTACACACAGGTAAGCATTACGAGGACCGAAGTCCCCCTAATGCACGCCGGAGCTCCTCGGCTGCTTAAAAAATTAAGTATGTTTACTAACTAACACTGTCATGACCGACAGTTATTGAACCTAGAGATGGCGACGAACTCAACTCCCACATGTGCATTATACGAGTATGTCAATGGATATTTTTCCATTCCATTATTCCAGTTAAACAGGGGAGTATACTGAATAAAAATGAACAAAATGATTTTATGCAAGCCCCAAGTGTTCATTTGAAAGAATATTTACTTTCCGGGACGTTTATGGTAAATACTTAATAAATTACTAATATAGTTTACTCAATAAAATTTTACGCAGATTCACCGTACCGCACCGCCATCAGCGGAGCCGTTTTGAAATTACAAGAGGAAGGTAAACTGCACATTTTGAAGACTAAATGGTGGAAAGAGAAACGTGGCGGTGGATCTTGCAGGGTGAGAACCTTTCTGACGACTATTATTATCATTATGACTTTTGTTACTGACTGTTCCAATATAACTCGTTCCAATTTCAGCAGTTCATGCACTGTATTTATTTATACTGGACTAGACCAATTTAATTTTTTTGTTTATCTTCACACACCCAAAATCACACAATTTGAAAATGGTGATGAAGATTAACTTCCTTGAAGTCTTTGCAAGGTACAAAATTTTGTAAAGATACATTTCACGTATATTACTCTTTTTTTTGAGTTCATAATTATTTTATTTTGAAGTAGATCGGAAACAACGCTGAAAGATTTTACCGAACAATTGCGAGTCTTAATCTGTGTTTCTGCCGCAGAGGGATCTATTTATCTTGGTCTTTGAATGTCTTTACCTACTATCACAGATATTTAAAAGGGGTCGAGCGTGTACTGAGAAGTCTTCTAAAAATTGCCTTTATGTCCTACCTGTGTCCGTTACGCTACAATAAGGTTTTCTTTATAATTTTCTGGGCGATTATATTTGGATATTTCGTTTTATTACAGAAAAGGTTCAACATTAATTTTGTTAAAGAAAGCAATTTCGGATACCTCTTCACTTCCTAATAAAGTACTTCCTTCCTTCCTTCTATTTTGAATTTGTCTTTAAATCTAAAACTGGCTCCACAACAATATTATTAGGTTAGGGGAAAAGTTTCTTCGCATTTTATATGAGAATTCAAAACATTTTTTAATAAAGTTTATTTACATTTACCTAATGTTTTGTTCGATAACTTTTTGCCATTTTGTAGGTAGGGACATGATCCCATTGCTATAGAAACACAGTATTACCTTGTTGCGAGTTAACCCGGGTTTCGCCAGAGAAGCCTGACCGGCCTTTGACCACGACCTTTTTCGCACGTTCTGGTCGTACTTGTTCTATTTTCATCACCAGTTATCAGCTTCTTCAAAAATGGTTCGGTTTCATTGCGTCGTAATAAAGAATCATAAATGAGTACACGATTCATTAGGTTTCTTTCAGTCAGCTCGTGAGGCACCCAAATATGAAGCTTTTTTGTGTATCCAGTTTTTTTCAAATACGCCAAAACTATTTTGTGGTCAATTACCAGTTCTTCAGCTACATCGTATTTACTGATATGCCGATCTTTTTCCTCTTTTTCAAAAATGGCATCCATTTTATCCGTGACAGGGCGACCAGAGCTAGGTGCACGTTTGTCATCAAATTTTTCGTATTGAAAACGCTATGACCAAATTTGTGCTACTCTCACACACTGCACTAGGTCCATAATTTTTTTTCGCTACTTTTTTTACCTTTTTTGTAGTAAAATTTTAAAAGGTATCGAATTTCTTCATTATATTCACTTATCCTGACAGTAAGAAAAACAAATGAAAACCACACATTTTTCTAATTTGAATTTGAAATTATTTTCTTTAAAATTTTAACTTTTTAATGATACCAAAACCAGCCATATACGAATGGTATAGCCAAAGATATTTTATTACAAGTTCATACATGAATGCGAAAAGACTTTTTCTCCAATTTCGGTTCATTATTTGGTATCTTCGGAAGCTTTCATATCAGTTAAACTTGGAAATTTTACAATTCCGATGTAATTTTCATAGTAAATTATTCTTAAATCATTTACATAACGGTTTCTAATTGGATACAATGTTAATAAACTCTCGTTAAGTTAAGTTATAACTTTTACTTAGTTTAAAACTTTCTTTAAATAAGAATCTCGCTATTCCTATAAATAGAAAAATGCTTAGCGTAGTTAAAGTAAAAAATCTTAGAAAAAGTCAAATTACTTTATAATACACAAAAAATATGTGTATGTTAAACTACTTGACCGTCACTGAAAGCTTTATATTGAGATAGCACTTCCGTTTCCCGTCGAATTACAATCAGTTTCCGTACTTTTATTCACCTTGTATCCGGTCCAGTGGCGACACCTGGCAGAAGCGCGGCCATTTTTGTTTTCCTAAGTTTTGACAGCGCCATATTAACTCATTGGCGTTCTGACTCCCGTCGAAGCAACACGTCCTCAATCTGAGCGATCGTTGTGAGATTTTAAAGGTTTTATTATTATTAAGTGATAAAACTGTAAGTAAAACTATTTTATTTTAACGGTTTTTGCCGTTCGTGTTATTCCAAATAGGTACTTTACCTGTTAAAAGTGAAGGAACCGTAAGTAAAACTATTATTCTTTTTGATAGTTTTTGCAGCCCTTGTGATAAGGGATATTTAAAACAATTATGTTAAATTGTGCAATACGCTTGTTTGAAAAAGTAATAATAAGCCGTGAGTAAAACTTGACGGCAATTCAAGGTGCGTTTTGTTAAAAAAAAAAAAAAAAAATAAAGTACCTACATTAAAGTAAATTTTGCAATACTTTACGTCTGTCTTGGTCGTTTATCATAAAAACTATTTTAAGAGTGTTTTCTCTTGGTACTCAATTAATGTTTCCGTATAAGTAAATGTGAAAGTAAATTGGTAAATTTATTACAAAATACTTAATTAAATTGTTTTACAGTTTAGAGTGAAGGAATATCGGTCAATATTGACGTTTCAGCCGCCGACTGACTGGCATTATTGGCAAAAACAGCAAGATGTGTGGATCTAGTCATTATTGTTCTTCGAACAGCTGCAGTAATAATTGGTTGAATTTGTCGTCTTCTGGTATAACGAAAGCGGCATCGCTGCCTCAAGAAAAATAAGCGAGCTTGATATTCCAGCCCTTTTATTAAAAGATTGTTCGAGGGGTAAGTGAAGTATGTACAATCTTAATAAGGTATTTCTAATGTCGATATGCCGTTTTCTGAACATGGCCAGCTATCAATATCTAAAGGCTTATGAATAAAATGTTCTAACACTTTTACTGACCAATACACGTAATAAAAATTCTCATATGAGTCGTGTGACTAAACTAGGATAAAGGAACGCTCTGTTCGAAAGACATTCAACATTTATTTTAAATGATATGCTGATGTAAATTTAAAATTATAATCATAGTCCAGGCTTTATCAACCTGGAAACAAACAACGAGGTAAAGAAGTATGATGATAATTTATGATATATCACGTTCCTGACATTCATTTTCCTTCAGTAATCGCATATTTCTAAAATAAAAATGAATCATTGCGGGAAGGCACCTGCTCAGTTAATTTTAATAACGAAAGTGATAAGATAACAGAATCGTTTCTTAGGTCTTTTACAGCTAGCACAAAGCTAAAAAGTAAAAACTAAAGCACTGTTTAAGAAGTTAGTGATCTCTGTGATGAAGCACCACTTAATAAGAAACCATCTATGAGGTTGTTTTTCTCGTATTAAGTAAGTATTTGTCATGGATTTAAGTGATTGACATTTCATCAACCTACTGAGCAACTCGCGCAGAGGCAAGTGATATTCATAAGCTTCATCTCATGAAGCCCAAGGCGTGTCAGGACATGCCCTCCCATGGCGTACCTACACATATGAGTACCGGTGGCAAATCACCCTCGCGGGCTGCATATTGTATTTAATTTGTTTCCACTACGTGGAATCTTATTAAATGCCTCTAATGCCTTGCCTACATATACGAGTACCGGTGGCAAATCACCCTCGCGGGGTGAATATTATGTACAATTAGTTTCCACTACGTGGAACCTTACGAAATGCCTCTAATGCCTTGCCTACATATACGAGTACCGGTAGCAAATCACCCTCGCGGGGTGCATATTATATACAATTTGTTTCCACTACGTGAAACCTTATGAAATACCTCTAATGCCTTGCTTACATATACGAGTACCGGTAGCAAACCACCTTCGCGGCGTGCATATTACCAAAACTCTGATGACCGCCCCTCGCGGGGGCATATTATGTATAATTTGCTTCCTCCGTATGGAACTCATTATGAATAAGGACTTGCCTTCCATGGCTTGCCTACACATACAAGTATCAGTAACAAAACATCGTTGATAGAGAAATATCCTCATCAATCTTATAATCGCCCTTGTGGGGTCATATCACACATAATATATTATTTCCATTACGTGAATATCAATATATGTTCTCCTTAGAACATGTTCGCTTATGGAGTTCGTACTATTATGTAAGCACCGCTAACATACGACACTCGAGTGGAGCAAATTATGCATAATAAAATTTAACATGTAGTCTATTCGTGATTCATAATTTATTTTTGTGACCATGGGGTCTGTAAAAGTGTAAATGATTCGAAACATTAAAAATAAGTCAATTGAAAATATAATAAATGTCGCTTGACATAATTCATTACTTCCATCGCGTGGAAATCCATACATCAACGCAACGCAACATACCCGCTCATGGCTTGCGTACACATAATTATCGGCTATAAACTACCCTCTTAATAGACTATAAAGATCGAACATCGAATGTTGACGTACCCCGTTGGGAAGTGCAGTGTACGTGGTTTTTAAGGTGTCGCATACTCCGAGGTCTTGGGTTCACCCCGGTGGGGTAAATCATTGTATGATAAAAACGACCATCTGTGCCTAAGTTTTGGTTGTTAACAAATATGAATTCAAAATCATACAATCTATGCATCATCATTATGCATTTCTAGGCGTTAGCCCATAACACAAGCCTTTCAATGCCCATTATAAAGCTAGGCTAATTGGTGTGAAGTGTTGACTCGATCACTACGGTTGTTCTACCGTAATATATAATACATTTCAAAAGAAAAAGGAATATCGAAACAATTAATGTTTGAAAAAATTTAGTGCAGGTAAGTTGATAAATTGGGAGCTCCATAAATAATTCTTAAATAAATTTAATGGTATCGCATGCCATTCAAAAGTTTGTTTATCTAAATCCAATGTATATCAAACTCCAATCTCAAGTGCAGTACACTATAAATATGTAAAGAATTCTAAGTTTTCTGCAATTTAAGGACTATCTGCCAGATAAATAGATAATAACATATTTTCCCTTGAAAATAACAAAAGTAAACCAAAGGTTGCTCACTCTTTTGATCGCGTAATGAGAGAAACTTGCAATATTAGAAATGTCGTGTATGTGGTGTCTGAGGTGGCCAACATGATCATTTTGATATATAAGTGGTGCTATGTACTGAAGAAAGATTGCATGATCTACCAAATTCTTGAAAGGTTTTGAAGATCATTGTATGCAATTGTCCACTTCATGTTATTTTAGTAAAAATAACTGAAAACTGTTCTTAATATTAAACTTACGCTTTCTAACCTTGCCACGACTGTCTGGAATAAATATACTTCAAACCCTACGCATAGTACATGCACACCTCATGTAAGCTGTGTAAATCTTATAAATAACTAAATCTTTATTTAGTATTAAGTAATACATATAAATGACTCAGATCTAAGAACTGAAAAACAAAAGGAAAAATTACAATCAATTATAGATTCCAGGATGGCAAATGAATTTCATAAAATCTGGTCTGAACTTCGTAATAGGATAATTTATCACGGCAACCCAGCAACAATATAAAAACTATACCTGAGAATTTCGTTGTAAAAACGTAATTTTTTGTCATTCCGTGGGTTTGTATCAACCACTCCCTACTTCTAACAATAATTATGAATTCACTGCAATCGACCTTGCAATCACTTCCCGCCAATCTAATATGAAAGCTTGGGAAGTATAGTTGAAGAACACGGCTCTACCACTTAACTTCAATCTTCACTACAATCAAATAGATATGCTAGCACTACGCTTTTTAACATATTCTACAAAGAGCGACAGCTCTGTCTTAAACAGCTATGAGATGGCTCGGAAACGCTGGCTTGCGTGGTTGCATTGGTCTAGAAACAAGAATGACTCTGAACTAACACGATTTTTGAGAGACTTATTTTTAACTCGTGACTTATCTTAAAATAAGTCAGTAGTATTTACATGATATACCAATGGATGATAAGTCTAATTACCTAAGCTCACCTGTCTTGGCAAACACATATATTGAAGTCGATTATTTTTAAAGAATCAGTCCGTAACCTATTATTCTGTGTCTATAAGTTAACTTATTTCCTTTTCTTCAATAATGTACTCGTTACATCATAATGATCTGTTTCAAATACTTCGTCATATATGTTGTTCTGAACGTCATACAGTAATTATGCTGCGTATTATTTGGTTCAGCATGTGGTACACATGACTTGTTCCTACTTCAAATTATCCCGAATCATTGTATTTTTACCGACGGAGATTAATTTAGCCTTGTTTTGGTTCAAAACAGGTGAAAGTATTTAAAGACAATCCGATTGGTGACTTGTACCGAATAATGGTAATCGTAAGTGGGACCCTGATTTTTGGTACTTAAGTAAAAAGTACAGTCTTGTAAAATGTAAGACTCAGTATCGAACAACTTTACATCCTTTTCTCGCGTTCGTACGCCTTATTTGTGATATACAAAGATACAAATGAATGCTACACAAGGAAGCTTCCGGTCATTAACAAAGCAAATATATGTAGAAATATATATATATATATACTTCGCAAGTTTTAAGCAAAGGAATATAGCGATCAGCTAATACATATGTTAATCAGCTTCGTAAGCTTGAAGAAATTAAAGGCGTGATTCAAATAATATTATTTGATTCATTTTTAAGCTTACTCGTTTCTTTATACAGTTTCATATAATCTGATAAATGTTAATATTTAAATTTATCATAAATTGTCACATTGGCGTATATATCTATGTACGTGGCGATCACCAGGCGATAACAAACAGGTCTCAATATAAAGCTTTCAGTGACGGTCAAGTAGTTTAATAGCAGCATTTTACCTGAAATAAAATGCATATTAAAATACTTACCTCACTGAAAGCTTTCACTTTAAATTCTGCCTGGTGAAATAATTGAGCCAATGAGTTAATATGGCGCTGTCAAAACTTAGGAAAACAAAAATGGCCGCGCTTCTGCCAGGTGTCGCCACTGGACCGGATACAAGGTGAATAAAAGTACGGAAACTGATTGTAATTCGACGGGAAACGGAAGTGCTATCTCAATATAAAGCTTTCAGTGAGGTAAGTATTTTAATATGCATTTTATTTCAGGTAAAATGCTGCTATTTATAGAATTTCATATTTTAACGTAATATTTATGTCTTCTTGTAAAGAATAACCAAGTATTATACTACAATTAAATAGGGATGACCTTTTCTCTTCGTCTATCAGGTAGATTATCAAAAAGAATTGGACACGATATTTTTTCTTCGTTATTATACTTTGTTTTTATTATGTATTTCTAAAAATACATAATCAATATTTTACATTACGAACACATCGAAAAACCACTAAAGTTTGAATGATGCGTTACAGTTTGCCGCACATCATAATTCATCATTGTCACATAAAATATTAAACTGTCACTCAAAATATTACAGAATTAAATTGATTTGAAATGTCGCATGATAGCTCGACAAAGTAAATAAAGTCATTATTCAGACAACGCATCCTGAAAAAAATGCGAAACGTCAATAAATAAATAAAATCAGTGCATCTATAATGTTCAAACTTGTTTTATTTAATGAGTGGTGTGCGTAAAAACCTAAGAAACAAATATGTCGCATGATGTTACGTCTTGGTACAATTTTTACCATAATGTTTACATAGAAGTGACGTCACGAGCCCCCTCTCCCAAACGTTGAATGGCTTTATCTTTGTAATTTTTTGGCTGTTTGACAAAAGAAAAAATACGAGTCCATTTTTTTTGATAAACTAACAGACGGACTAAGTGGAATTTCGTTTATTCATCGTCCTGTCATCGTCCATATTCTGGCATATTCCTTCCACTTCACACCACTGCTTACCTGAGAAACTAATATCAATTTAACCAGGACGACACGTCTAAATCTTCGTCCACCGCCAACGAGTTAGGACTCGCGAACGTGGGTGGCGTATTTGTGGTCCTAATGGGAGGGATGGGTGTCGCATGCGTCATCGCGGTCTGCGAATTCGTGTGGAAATCACGTAAAGTAGCAGTCGACGAACGAGTAAGTTAATATTTACTTTGTCTTACTATAGTTTTAATCGCAATTCATTTTGTTGAATGCCATTGTTAGTGTTGTTAGACTTATTGAGGTATAATTTTAAGAAATATTAGGCATTTATATATGTTTTAGTGGGAATGAATTTTAGTTTTTTTTTTATTTTTCTCCATTTTTAAACGTTATAATTTATTAATTTCAAAAACAAAGTTTTAAGTCGTACAATATCAAACACTAAAGTGAGACAGACTGAAGTATCTACTGTCAATACATTTCATATTCATAAGTACATTAATGTAAAGAACAGTTTTATTCAATTTGTATTTTCTAAAATTGATTTTCACTTTGTAATTATTAAGTATAATAATTCAATTATTTCAAAATTCGATTATTCCTTTAGCAGATTTTGAAAAAAAAAGGCTATATATAGAAATATTACCTAAAGATCATTTCGATCACTATTATCAAAATTATACTAAAGAGATGGAATTCAAAGCCAAGTCAAAATAAACGCTCTGTTGAGTTTTATCCAGTCCATACAAAATATCTGTACATGAATTTAATATTACTCCGAGTGATATTTGACGAAATTACGTACAGCAGACTAATAATATGAGAACAGTTTAATATCAGGAGGGTGTTGTAAGGACAATGAGTTTTGTGTGGCGTGTTACAGACAGCAACAGACAGCGTCTGGAAGTCACTGGGGTCACATTGAAACAATAAATTATAATAGAACAGAATTTACTTCTTAATTTCTGCTTAGTTATTTTTTTGTTTATTGTAGTTTGTATATGAAAGTTACTTTTTCTTTCTACGTAGCTTTTATTAAACAGTTCTATTGTTGTAATGATGACGAAATTAATTCTTAGTGGAAAAAAATAATTTGTAAAGAGTTAAATATAAAAACAAAACTGAAATTAGAACTTTCCACAACTTTAAACAGAAAAAAAACAGTGAAGTTCCTTTATAATAAGTATACAAGCAAAGGTTGTTGTCATAACCGAATCAAATCTATCAAAATATAAACGTTATAAACCTTTTTAGAAGAAATTCAAAAGCGTTTTAATTCAATACAAAAGCTTCACCAGGGTTAATATCTTGCCTTCAAATTTTTTATACATACAGAATACTAAAGAGAGTCGGACAAAATATTTATTTTAAAGCGTCCCATAGAATATTAAGTGTAAAAGATTTTCCTTAACCGGTCGGTCTCATTAGAGAATTGGAGCGCACCTTTATTTAGTTCATGGACTTTAATATAATACTTTGTGGTTCAGCCCATTAAAAGTCGGGTCAGTGAATTATAAAATTATGAATTAATTTTATCTTTATATCATCGGTACTCCCAACCGTGCTTTGTTTTCCTAAATTCATTTTAATTAACTGTTTTTTATTTTGTTCTAGGTTTATTTTTGAAGGGGTAAAATATTATACATTTCTTGATATGTTTTTTGCCAGAGTAGACAGTAATTTTTTTAAATTAAATGATTTTAGTAGTAGTAAATTATCCACTAATAGACGTAATTGTAAAATATTGGGTGTGTTAATCATGTGTATTTGCGCTAGAAATTCGTATGATAGTTCGTCCAAAATTGAAGTAATGTGTACGGTAGTGACGGATTATTATGACCCAGGGAGGAAGCTTTATCTCAAGCCAGGAGCTTATATTGTAATAATGTCAATTTTAAGTGAACATTGTAATTTAACAAATTACTTTAAAACATAGAGCAAATTTCTGTACCTGTTCATATTTTCTCCAGTTTTGGACAAAATTTACTTTTAGGGCAAAACGACCCACTTTTACGGTACTTACTTCTAATAAAACCTTATTTGTTAATGCCGCTGATCCATTTGATCACAATAGAAGGAAGAGGTGCGTATATAAAATAACAAATACTGTTTCTATTATTAAAATGGCCTATTTATTTAAACTTTAAGCGCTACTTTAAACTTTCAGTTTGTTATAGTCATAATTTAATGTTTAGCTACTTTTTGTCCACACCTCACAACGCGAGCTTGTTTTCAACGACCTACGATCATTACCAGCGTTTTTGTGTGCAGGCTTCGCTTTGCTCCGAAATGGCTTCGGAGTTGCGTTCCGCGCTGAAATGCCCGAGTGGAGCGGGCAACGGAGGGGGCACGGGGGGGCCGCGTGATGGCTCCGGCTCCCCATACTTGCACTACGGATTCAGTACAAAGAGCCAGCTACACTAGCGCCCGGACTCGGCCTCCTCGCCACCGAGCGATGTGTAGCCAGAAAAAAAAACTGAACTACTCACAGAGCGTATTTTGTGCCAGTGATGTGAAAACGTTCGATCATTCGGAATTTCAAAAGACGCTGATGTAAATAACTAAGTCATATCTTATCCATAGACAAAACATGTTGTTGTGAAGGTTATATTAATAAAAAGTCTTGTTTTTACCGCTCCATTGGGATCGTTTGTAAATATAATGTACTTTTATAGTTTGCAAGTCAAATATTAATGTGTCAAACCCGTTAAGAATACTAGTTCCTTAGGTTAAGATTTTTTTTATTAATTTAAGATCTTGAAAGGATAAAATATACTCGTACTGTAGAGTTTATTGATGTTTTATAAATATCTATGAATTTTTAGGGTAAGAACTAAAATCCTGAATCTGTTTACATTACATTTAAGGATACATACTATTAAGGAAATAAATGTATCAATTGTCTTTTTATATGACATATTCGGATTTGAGTAGAAAACTCATTTCTTACTAAATTACCAAAAAAGATTAATCAGCTTTTTTATATTAATATACTTTTTGTAATGTTCTTACTTTAAATTTATTTCTAGTCTTTAATTTTCTATGTGCCAAATAAATAATTCAATTTATTTACAATATTTAAGACTTGAAAAACGTACTAAGTATTAAATTGACCACATGTAAGATTAAAATTTATAATTATTATTAGATACATGGCTCAAAGTGTGCCAAATATTCACAATTTGATTCCAACTGTGTAATATATGTAAGTCTACATTTTGAAGTGGAATTTAAATGAATAAATTGTTTTAATATTGCTCTGGTTTATTTCAACCCCTAAATCTCACAGCAAATAAAGTAATATCACGGAATGGCAATTTTCTACTAATTAGGGTCAAGTGGGGGAAAGTGTTACTAGGTGCATAGTGTAACATAAGGCACATCTTATTTATCTATGTCGTCAAAAAACCCTGTCTGTGGAGATGGCAGATTTCTGCCATGAGTTGAGAAAATTATTTTCATATTTTGCGTTTTAACATAATTAGTAATGACTTTTAATTTACATATGAGGAGCTGGCGAACAAAAGGGTATAATTACGCATCTGGTCAAACTACACTTTTTTACAGTCAGGAGGTTTCGGGCCCGTTTTATTTGAATCTCAAATAATTTAGTCAAATTTACCTAAAACAGTGTTAAAATTACTAAATTTATAAATTAAAAACCATTTCAAAGATCAGTAGAGATATGTTATTCAGTTTTATACAGCTCCTGTAAAATTTGATTATATGTAATTATAGCGCCAGCTCCTCATATCATATATGTAGAGAAATTTGTAGAGAAATAATTCAAAATTGATTTAAGACATAAATGATGAAAGCCTGGATGTACAGAATTCGAATAATAAGAGGAAAATCGACCGGAAAATAAAAAAAGAATCCGGTCGTAAAAAACAAAATGGAAAGCTAAGAGATACTGGGTTTTGAGCGCACTTTTGCTTACACTGTTGACGGGTTATGCCGCCATCATAAGCACTGTCATCAGACGTCAAATGGCTCAGTATAATACAGAAATTTTCCTTATGTAACACTGTACCCCTTGTGACACTGTCGGCCACTTGAGGTTACAAATCTTAATATTGATGGCGCGGAAAGATTCTCGAATGGCTACCATACACAGTGGGCAGGCTCCTGATCTGGTGGACCGAATATCTATTAAAGCTCCCAGAAAAACTCTGGATGTGGCTAGCTGACGACCAATCTCTGCTGACCCACTTTCACACTGAAACTTCATACCAGTGTTAAGATTGGAAAATTTCTTGCACAACACTTTTAAACTTTCAAAGAAGCTTCGGCTGGATCCCACTCCAGTCTTAACATTGGGTCCTTTGAGCAGAGGTCGATCGTTGGGGGGCCTATGCTCAGTAATGGATGTAGTTTAGCTGAATGATGATGATGAAAGGTAAAGTATATAAGTTCATGATTTGATTCCACTTCCCATTGTAACTACAACTGAAGAGCAACAGGTTATATTGTCCTGAACTGTGGTTTAGTGCATTTTTTTTATTTTAAAACTGTGGCAAACAAGCGTATGGCCCGCCTGATGGTAAGCGATCACCATAATCTATATACGCTTGCGATATCTAAAATATCACTTGTACCGTTGTCTACCCTACCCAATCCCCTACCCCGTGGAGCACTGGAACCCTTTTCACCCACAGAAACACAACACCACAACAAGGTAGTGTTATTTTACTGTGATCTTCTATAAGGAGGAGGAGGACGCGCTCCAATATGATTTGAAAGGCCGCTATGCTCTACCTCAATTTTCCGAAGAATTTGAATGTCCAAAGCTTCTAGGGTACCGTAGACCTTACAAGGAACCCTGATAGTTTTTTCATGTCCGTCTGTCCGTCCCCGGTTTTACTTGGAGACTGTAATTTTGTGGAGATATCGTATCGAGATATCAATCACGCCGACAAAATGGTAGAAAAAAATTTTTTTATGAGTATTTCCTATACATGTAACTGGTATTTTTTTTTCATCGTCTCCGTCATCGTGTGGGATATCGTTGAATAGGTCCTTAAATATTAATTAAAAGTTTCTAAGACTATTTTTCGATTTAGGAATTCGTTTGCGAAATTTTGAAATTAGAGGTCGCCCCCCTTACCCCTCTAAAAGTTAAACCTGGACTTTAAAGAACTTTTAATAAAAAACGATTCCGGTTAAGATAGATTTGTCAGTTTAAGAATAGCCGTTCAACTTTGTTAAAGAAACTTTGATAAGAACTGTGAGAACGTACAACTTCGGCAGCATAATATTTTTCCCGGCAAACAAACTTACGAGGAAATTGCATTAAACGTTCCTTGCGAACTTTAAAATATTACAAACAATAGGTGTATCTCTGAATAAGTTCATGTGAAAAATCATTTCCTGGAAAATACTCTTTCATGTTTTCGCGCATACCGAAAGTGTTATTACGTAATGTTTAATTTTATCGTTTCATGCTTCAGTAAAATAATATCGTTGTTTTTGCTAGACCTAATGTTAAATCGTATAAATTAATACGGCACGGAATCTTAGGTGTGGGAGTCGCCATTTTTTTGATTTTTGACTAAGTTCAGCTTTTTAATTTAACCGTAGAAAAGCAAAGCAACAGTGCCATTTTTGGACTTTCACAAACACTGTTACATTATTTTATGAACAACTTAATTTGTTGTTTGGAAAAGTAATATATTTTCTTATTGTAAAACTCAATTTGCAATATTCAAATCATAAATGTATTGCTCAGTGACCTCACTATGGGAAGCGCGATGTTGGTACCGGTTTAACTGCGAAAAGCGCAAGATCTCTCCATGTGTCGAGGTCTCTCAAGAAGGTCTATGTCCAGTAATAGACCTCAATCGGCCGACGAATTTGAGAAAACCTTTAATGTTAATGGTTTTGTCCTTGCGCAGGAAAGCGCAGGATATAGAAATCCTAATACAGTCCTATTGTGAGTTTTTACCGTATTTGAAATGATATTTAATTGTTGCCGTTTATGTCAATTTATGTTAACCCTTTAGACCGTATTACTTATTATATTTTTTTATTTTTATGCTAAAATAAATAATCTTTAGATATCTGTACTTACTCATAGCGTGCGAAAAGAACCTACGTGTTTTCAACACTAGTATAACCATTTTTTTATATTACCCCAAGCAAAGTACATATCTATAAAATTCTTATGATGATTTGTATTTATTGAATATCCGTTATTTTAAATGCAAAATATAATAAAATATTTAACTGAGTTATATGCGTAATTTATTGTATTCTTTCGTACGTTTTATTTCTAGCTTTATATCGCATAATTTATACTAATATTATAAAGCTGAAGAGTGTATTTATTTGGTTGAACGCGCTAATATCAGAAACTGCTAGTCCGATTTGTGTTGTCTTAGAATTGTGAACATATCGAGGAAGGCTATATAACATAACGCTTTCACTAATGGTTCCGGAGCACCAATGAAAAATGTTGCAAAAACGAGACAAATATTCCATTTTTGAGCTTCCATTGCGTTTGCTGCGTAAACAGTAAAAGTAACACAAAATCACACATCTTTTAAGGATGACCCACTATAACCTTTTTCCTCAAATTAATGCGGCTGAAACCGCAGGGCATCTCTAGTAAAGTATTAAAACGTCGGTTGATACACGTAGAGAATGGATCACATTCTCATTCATTCCAACTTGTTGACTCTTGCTTTCAGCCAGTATGCAAAACTTAATATTTGGTATGTTCGTTTTTAAAGTTTCAAAGGGTAACATTGAGAACTCTATTAATATGCATGTTTCTTGAACGGAAAAAGGTAGACACCTGGAATCCTGCCTGTTACGCCGCTAACAGACAGTTTGATCAACACATTTTTAAATATTTCTTCCTTATTTTTAGGACACCTCCCTCAGCTACTCTACAAACATCGAAATTTGATGAGTCGACATTTCGAATAAAGTTCAATTCCTCATTTACAAGCTTGCAAAAAATTTTGGGTGCTCAATAGAGCGAGATAGTACTCGAAGCCTTACAAAGCATATGTTTGGCCGCATGTGGATTACAGAGGCCCAAGCGGAGGCTTTTTAATTTTTTACTTGAAGAAATTAACTTCAGTCAAAGTTTCAGACAGGTCATTTTCATTTTGCTTAAAAATCATCGCCTGCGCCTCTAAATCCGGTCCAAGAGGAAGGAGCTGGTATTGAGGTGCCCTGGCCCGGAGATGACAACAAAGGTCCAAGCAGGATTAAAACTTTATCATGCTATATCTTTGTATCCTGTTTTCTCTCTTTATATAATACGTAGATGTATCGAATTTCTTCATTCGACTTACTGATCTTGGCAAAAAGGAAAACAAATGAAAATGACAGATTTTCTAATTTAAATTTGGAATTATCTTCTGTTAAAAATTAAACTTTCATTATACCAAAATAAGCCAGATACAAATGGTACTTATAGCCATATTTTGTTACAAGTTCATACATGCTATAAAGCGACAAGACTTTTCCCCCAACCCATTATAAAAATTATCAATGATAATATCGAAATGAGTCAAACATTTTGCAATGCAAAATAAAGCCTTGATACTGTCGGAGCCATAATTCCAGCTGTACTGTGAATTTCACGACACTCTTAATTATTTTAACGAAACTACGAGTACACAAGTACTTCAACAAGTTTCATGTTTCAAATTAGTTTCATTGTGCATATCACTAACTTCGTAATGTAAATTCAGCTTAATTATGAGAAAACAAATGACATAGAAGAGTAGTCGAACCTTCATATCAGCGAAAAAATACCAATAGCCAAGGTAAAATTAGCGTTAGTTCTTAGCGACATAATGCTGAACTAGGCATCGGCACCCTCAATAATGAAATTAAATTACATTATGGTATGCCACGTTGTCAGCGATAGTGAAATTGTAAGCTCCAAAGTAACTTGTGGATAATATTGGGACTGTAGGGTAGCGCGGAACAGATGGCCATTAAGACACCGTGTGTCACGGTAATGTAGGTATTTGAGGGGGTGAAGCAGGGGAAGTGAGTGAAGGGTACTGTCAGTCGTCCCGCGCACACCTCGTTGACGTTCATAGCTTTAAGGTTATATTATACTGAAGCGAAACGGTAAAATATAGTCGTATTTTATACATACAATACATTACAATAAGATACAAAAAAAAAAATTTAAACGATTTATTTGTCATATCATCACACAAACTATTAACTTAACAGTGTTTCATATTTTTTATACTTGTAGCTCTAAAAAAGTACCTTATATAAAAATACCTTATATTTGAACATTTTAATGTGTAAGATTGATCCGAATATAAAAGACGTATGGCTTAGCGGATTATCCGCTCGAATTATAACATCTGACTCGGGAATAAAGGTAATAGCAACAGCAACCCGTCTTGGTGGTATTATGTTTCTTTCGATGAGTTAGGTTCCAGGGCTCCAGTATGTAGGGGGATGGCTCAGGGTATAAAAACATTGCAAGTGATACTCTGGTATCGCAGACTTTTTTTAGCTAGGCAAGCAAATGACTCTACCCTACCTGTTATGTGGTGGTAAAGTCCAGACGCGAAGATAGTGCAGCAGTTATGATCTGCCACACCAACAATCTTCACTTTGCCGGCCTGCAGAAACACTTCCCCATATTGGAGGTAGAAGAAAACACGTGCGCGGGCAAAGAATTCTAATTGCAAATAGTGTAGCGTATTTCGCAAGCAATATCGATTTATTTACTTTAAACAATTTAACTAAAATGCTTTAAAATTTAATAACATGCGTGATCGTAAGAGCATTAAATACATAAAATATATAATTAAGACATACAATAA